CCTTTATTTGGCATGGCCATTAAGCATCACGAATCCTTTTAAATCAAGCTATTTGAAAAAAACCCTCAGTATTTCTTTTGTATTTCTGGATTGGACGCCACAGAACAATACCCTTCAGTAACCACTAGGCTATGCTAAAAGCCTTCCTGAAGCACACAGTGCCTTTCCTACACTGCTATTCCAACACAACAAAAACAAACAGGCTTTTAGCATTTTATACAGGCATATTTTTACTACAAATTTTGCTTAATTCCTCTGGTGAATTGTTTTAGATTCAAGATTGCAAAAAAAGAAATTAATAGAAATGTTAAACTCCCTCCTTTTGTATGGATGTTGGCTTTAGTACCTTAATAAAGAACATTAAAAAAATGTATCATGTATGTGCTCCGCATTTCAGACAAGTAACAGGCTACCACATTCTATGAGACAACAACAAATACATTACAAGTTTGAGAGAGGAATATGAATGATCATTAATTGCTATTAACTGTCATTGTTCTACAAATCCCCATTAAGGAGCGACGTTTATATTGGCATTACTCAGAATTTCTAGCTGTGCATGCTTCCTCATAATCTATTGACAGGGTTTAAATAGAAAAGGATGGTTATATACCCTTTGGGTTGTTTCATGCTTTGAGAGCCTTTTTATGCAAGAATAAAAAAGAATTATCTAAAATAAATAATATGATCATGTTTACTGTAAGACATATATGAGTATTCTTTACTTTTTATGCATATAACAGAACTTATAGAAAAATCATGAAGTGTTTCCTTGAACAAGTGTTTTTTTTGAAAATCATATTAATGGAAAAACACTAGACTAGCTGTATGAACATGTCAACATCAACATTAGTTGATGTGAAGTAATGTGGTTAGCAAAGCTACCTCCTTTTTGCAGTGGTACAAATGAACTGCAGTTGAGATTCATAGTAGTGTTGAGTCATAAGGTTTTTTATTTCTTGCTCTTAGAAAGGTTACAATTTATAATGAAAATAATTCCAAGTTTATAATTTTATTTGGAATATAATTATTTGTTATGACCGTGGTAAGACAAAGAGGGAACATGATCTGAATGTGCGGCAGTCCAGAACATTACTTCTGATGCAAAAATCTCAGCTTAAGTACAAAACAGTATAATTTGTAAAACTGAATATTCTAAAGGCATAAATGTGAGAGAGCTTTTGAAGTCTTTCAGCGTATCCCCTGTGTCAGTAAGTAAGGTCAGTAGGAGAAACTTTTCTGAAGGAGTAAAACTGTAAACCCACAATTAGCTTGGGCCTGTGGGTTTTGCTGAACCTGTAGAAACTGAAATATTTGAGCATAGCTCCCATATCTGAAAAAAAACGGTCTCTTATTACTGTTATCATTTTTTAATCATGATAAAGCATTAATCTAATAAACCCCCTCTTTCTGCGGTTGGCTGTGGGGTAAAATTTTAATTCAGCTTTGAATAAATTTTGGGATTCTCAGTTGAAAGTCATTATCTAATACCAAGAGATTGCCCTTTTTCTCCTATTAGACAAATATGAATCTTGTATCTTAGCTTGTTAACGCAGACCGACACAGAAAGTTTAAGTTGTCTAGTTCAAATATTGGCAAAGATAAAAAATGAGAGGTTTCTGAGAAATAAACTGAAGAATTAGAACTGAACTGGGATAATCACACTAACTAAGTTAGAAATCTGTTTTAAAGGTCGTAAAATTCAACTTGCTAACATGAGGAAAGGATGATCACATTCCTTCATCCATTTATTTGCCCTCCATTTGTGTACTCTATGACACAGTGCTTAAATATCTGACCACATACTAAAAATAAAATAAAATAACCCAAACTAAATGAAACAAAAGCCTTCCAGTCCTTTTCAGAATTCCTGACACCAGCAGCTGCCTTCCACATCTTCAGCGCTTTACTCTCTCCTATGGTCTGTTTCATTTCATGTTACACTAAGTGCTTTGCAGAGAGAATGGAGTTATTTGGTTTTCTACCTCGTGGAGGTTCACCAGGTTGCTGCAGAGCCCAGCACTGCAATAACACTCCCTGGCAGAGCACAAGCCTTCCCCCATGTGTTAGAGAAGCGACCATGCCCCACCTGCCCCAGCTTGTGAGGTGTGCAGGAACCTCTTCTACCAGTTCCTTCCCAAGATTTACTGTCTAATGTGTATAGCACTGGGAGCTGATACTGTTCTCACCTCATAACAGGAGAACTGAAGTACTAAAAACTTCAGGCTTCAGATATTAAGGCGAAGATGTAATTTTTAAGATATCTGGACTCTAACAGCACAACATCTATTTACAGCCCAGCTTCCATGGACTTCAACTAGCAGTTGTGATTGTTGGGCATCTTTATAAAACCAAGATTCCAGTTTATCAAACTGGGCACAGGAAACAAATAACTTGCCACCAATTACTACAGGTGGAACCATTTCAATCTCTTACGGGAAGGTCCTTCTGTGTAGCACAAACAGGGATAAAAGTCAGTTCTTCCAGGTATCCCTCAACTACCTTAACCACAAAATACTCCTTTGACTTCCTGTATTACTGTCCATCTTCCACCACGTGTTTCCAGCCTCTTCAGAAACGAAGCCTTCTCTGATAACACAGTATCAATTGAGAAATACAACAGCTTTAATCAGTGTGTTGAAGCAAGTGGGAATCCCTCTTGAAAAAATAGCAGAGGACCACTTAATATTTATACTCACCCGTGAAGTCAATAGAAGGCTGCAGAGAGTACCTGGATGATGGCTTTTCATGACATTAACGGTTCCTGCCTGCCCACATAAATAATTCTCCTAGTAGGTGTTTTTTTCCCTCCAAACAAATACTCTCTTTCTGCCTCTCACTGCAGCTCCAGTGCCATCATACATTATTTCAGCAATATTTACAATGGTTACCAAAGGAATTATTAACCTTCTACTTCGTTTCACATATATTTATGGTGGAGGAGTCTGTACAGCCCTCCCTCAGTGACCACATTTTCTAGACAAATGTGTAGGTAATAATCGTTATAGCCAATGGATAGAAAGAAAAGGAAACAATGACTGCCCCCGAGCATTCTTGGTGAGAACAACAACAGTATTTTTATGGAGAATAGTGAGAGCAGTGACCCTGAAGTAAAATGAAGAAGTAAACAACTGTGCCAGGAGATTCAGATTCAAAATCAATGTGAGGAAGTAACCAGCAGCAGCAGATAAAAGGGATAATGATTGAATTAAATTATTGAAAGTAGTATTTGATTGGGCAATCCATTTAATGCTTAGATAAGAAGACTAGTGACACAAATCAGTATGGAAAAGCAACCAGGGGGTTAGGAAGACTCTCTGAAGACCCTGAAGGAGGAGTTTCCAGACAAGAAAGGCTCTGGGGAAACCCAGGAGTATGATGGGTGGAAGCATTGGAGCCTTGTCCTTGTTGCTAGACCCAGATCAGAATAAATTGCATGATACACCCTAACTGGGTTGCAGACAAGATTACCAGTAACCTGATAAAAAATGGGGACTTCTCCCCACTCACCTCTTGGGACAGGTGCATGGGAGTACACCATCCCTGATGTAGCTGTAGTGTGGAGTATACCAATGAACCAGGTCACGTGCAAGTTAGATACATCTGTTGTGCATTATATATTGCTGAAGTTGTTCAAGTCATCTTGTCCCCATGGCTGCCTTTTGACAAACTGCTGAAGAATGCAGGTGTCACTGTGCCACCCCTGCAGCATTCACTGCTTCAATGGGCTGAATACCTTCCAGCAGCAGGAGACTGAAACCATGCCAGTGGCCTGAACCCAGACAAGCATGTGTGTGCCACAATGACCAAACCATTTCAGAGGTGTCAATGAACGGGTCAGGGGGTTGGGGACTGACAGGACAGCATCATACTTTAGTAGAGACAAGCACTTTTCTCTCCTCCCTAGGTCCTCTTCACTCCAACTTACTCATGTCAGCCCAGTCTTCCTGCTCTCTCCTGACACATTATCCCATTTCCTTTACTCATGTATTTGCAGCCCTATGTCTAAGTTTTGTCATCTCAGTCTCAGTCTCCAAGCACAGTAGCTCCAGTTTCCCTGCTGGCTCCATGACTGGTTTCCCTCTTTCCTCGCAGCTCCTGCAGTTAAGACCTGGGAAATTTCAGCCCAACCAATTACAGATTTTCCAAAACTTAAAGAAATTTTTTTTTTTTTTTTTAAAGTATCGAATATAGTAAATTTTGACAATCACTGTCTGTATACAATGAGCATAATATTAACAGGAGAAGATTAAAAAGAAATCAGTATACTGTGGCCACTACATTAATTCTACATTAACATGTTTAATAGATCTCTTTTTTCAAAATGTCCTTTTGCTTAGTTCAGAAGAAGTTAAAAGGATGGAGAACAGCCCTAGCAGTTGCTTTACAACTGCAGACAGGGCCTTGCTTACTCCTCAGCAACACTAGCTCTTTTTGCAGTTGTGATGAGGAACAGCAGTGGCAGTTGGCCACAGAAGCTGTCTTTATGAATAATCTGACCCACAGAATTTCAGTGTTAGACAGAAAAAAACATCCTTAAACTGGTATTCATCTACAAATGCCTTTCAAGAGAAATACCATGGTGGACTGAGAAAGAAAAGGGAAGACTATGTTGCAAGTACCATGACATCCAGGTAGGTATATAATTAATCCTGCTGTAATTGAAAAATACGTTTCTCCTAAATATCAACTTTTTTTCCCAAAGTGATAGAAACTGTAACATTCAACTCCAGTTTCTAAATAACACCGTACTCTTAGTGCTGCATTTCAGAGGTAGTTCATCATCTGGCTTTACACATCACTGAACATCTGAAATGCATGTTATCCCTGACTATTCCAAACTTCGTGTATAAAAAGAGGATATAAGACAATGCCATGCTATAGGAACTGTTGTACATATCTATAATGTCTTACAAACTTTGTTTGTAGCTACATATGCTTAAACACAGACATAGTGAAGCAAAATAATAAATACAGACAGCCAGAAAATGGACACTTACCCACAGTGCTTCATGTGAGGTGGTTTATCCATTCTCACTGCCAGTTTAATTTTCAAGTCACTGTCCTGGCTGTTTTTGGGCACTATCATTTTATGCAGATCAGGTGACTTTGGGCTATTGGACGTTGGATACAACACTACCTGCAAGTCATCAAACAAACACTTCAATTAACTGATACCAAAAAAAAATCTGCTAGCCTTTAATGGAAACTTTCAAGCAGACATGTTGCATCTCCTCTAGTCTGAAAGATGGCTCAAAAAGGTTTCATAGATCTAATAAACCACCTGAATCAATCTTATTGTAATAGACAAATTTCCAAAATGAACCCGTTAATTTTCTTACAAACGGGAATTTTCATATTAAGAGTTAATAAAATTTCCCCCTCTGTTAGTTCATTCTGAATTAACAGTTTGAACCTGAAAGGAACAGTTAACATTTGAAAATGGTCACATAAAATTAAACAAGAACCTAAACTTTTACATTACAGAGTGGTCTTCCAGAAATATCCTACTGAAACAATTTGCTGTAGCATTATACAACAGACTGCCCCTCCAGAAGTGACATATATGCTCTTTCTTACCAGCTCCATTTTTTTATCATTAGCATTAATAAAAGCCAATTATAGTAAATATCACAGAAGCTTGAGATGAATTCCAAAGCATCCTTGCTGCAAATGGAGCATAAAAAATATAAGATACGATGTTCAGTTCACATATGGTATGACACAAACCTTTTGTTTAATCACAGTGGTAGACATATAAAAAAAATTACACTGAATTTTAAGGATTTAATTTTAAAAACATTTACATACATTTCTTGATAGTTTTACTAGCTAACCATTAATTTTATACTCATATGATTCACAAACTGTTAAGTATGTATTTACTATCCAGAAAGTTTATCCATTTAGTCGTACAATTAAATATTACTACTTCATGAAGTCTTTGGCCACACTCACACATTTAGCAGTTAAATGATGGTGAAACATAATTTCCTTTCATTCTTATTATAATCACTACTTTTGAATCCATTTAGATTCTAAAATATTCTAAACATACTATTTGGAAGACTTGCATATCATTCAGTAAGTTCTGAATTATCACCAAGCAGTATTTCAAAAGTGACAACACTCTAAACCCCAATGTTCTCCACATCTTTTATTTCTTGAAAACCAAAATGAATCATAACATGAACAATCAAGTTAATTCCTTATACACAGTCCTTGTGCCTTGTGTCACATATATAAAACACAATATATTCTCCTCTGTGTTATTAGCAAAGTTAAAACAAGGATTTGAGTAAGAATCTCCAAGCAAGCATAAATCTAACAGACATTATTAAGGCAAAAATATTACAATAGTGTCATTCAGATCTAATCATCTGAAAGATGACATAAGCTGAAGGCCTTCAGCTTCTCATCTTGGTATTTTACAGAAACACGTTCCTGTAGCCCGTTAATATCAGGAGCTCTAGTGAAGCAAAGAAAAATGATGCATAACCCCTCATCAAGTGTGCAACCTTTATAACACCAGTGGGAGAAATAACCTGTCAGAAGTATTGAGTACCTTCAGTACCTTTTAAAGAGACAGGAAAAGAAAAAATATATTCTGGTTTTAAAAAAACTAGGAGGCTACATTTATTTTTTTCCTTTTTGCAAATGCATAGCAAACACTATCTGTAAGAGAGCTTATTCCTTCTTTCCCAAGAAACAAACAGATTTTCAATTTGAGTAAAAGCCATCCCTTAAAAAAATATAAAAGCCTTATGAGCATGGCAACCTCTGAGTTCTGAAGCATCAGACAGAAAACGATTTTTAGTTTGTCTAGCTTTTCAAATGCAAGTTATATAAACAGAATTATTACTCATTCCTTGCGTTTCATCACTTGGCATTCACTAGGACTGTAGGTGATGTTACGAATTTTTCCTTTTCTACAGGCTGTAGTTGCTGTCGTCCTGTAACAGCTTATTACAGCTCATGCATCTCAAGTGACACCTTTCTCCTGTCAACTTCTTAAATTTTTAGAATGCTGATAAAAATATAAGCAGACAAGTGTATAATTAATTCATAAGTTCAGTACTGACAATCCTCTTCTGAATTTTTAAAGAAGTATTTTGGAGCTTTGTTTTCAAACCTCTCACAATGAGTAAGTATCTGGCAGAATATTTAAGTATGCACTTTGTCATGCCTTCCAGCTTTAAACAATGAGAGCTGAAAGAACTTTGTCATCAAACTTTATATCATTACACACAAACAGACACACACGTATGCACACAAAGCTTTTGACAGGCACTAATTATCTTCACAACAACCTTCATACTAATATTACCCTTAAGGGCACTGCTAACCACTGTGTACCATATTATCAAACTGTAAGCTTCCATGAAATCACTGAAACCAAACCACTGGGCAAACAGTCCTTGATAGAACAAGTGAAAAGCTGCTGAAATTTGTATTAAAAGCATTCTCTCCACTATGGCACATTGCAATGCAATGTCATTGTCCATGGAGAAACTTGCAGGGTATTCTGTTTCAGATTTCCTTTCAGCACTGCCTAAGGGACTTATAATCTTCTAGCTGCTGTTCTACAATTTATTTTAAAAAAGCAAATGGTATCAATTTGTATGTCTTCTCTGGGGTATATAAAACATACCTACTATATCATACATTTCTGAATTAATTATTTTATTTTATCTTATTTTGTTGTTCTTATACCTCTGAATATCACTACAGTAGATTATCTAGCAGCAGCAGAGAGAACTATGAGTTGTTAGTCTAGGACTGTGTTTACAACAAGTAAACTGACAGGTAATCTGCATTAAAAAGTATGATGAAGTATTCACGGCCAGAATGCTACGCACCAAACATTGCACCAAACAATGCAGTGCAAACTGTGCACTGCATTGCTTCAGCTGATTTAAGGAAAAATAATAGTCTCAGAAAAGTGTGGGTTGAGATAATTCAGTAAATTCAATCATCTCATGATTGTTAAAAATACTTGACCATGTGGTCTGATTATACCTAGTATTGCTTTTCCTCAGACCACACTGTAACCGAAAAAGTAGCATGTTCACTTTTTCAGATGTAAAAAACCCCACAGAAATCTAAATATTATAGAGCAACAAATGTATGGATTTGTGCAAGGTGATGGTCTCAAAACATTGTTTTTTAATTGTGAATGATTGAAAATGTTTCTCTCCTAGGCTTAAAATATGACAGGTTGAAAGAAGCTAATACCATTTGACAACTTAACTAATCATTGTTTATTGTGATTCAGTTGTGTGTTTGTTCCCAGCTGGACCACAATAGAAGAAGTTTGAAGTACATCACGGTCAATCCAGCCAAGCAAGTATCAATGCTCCTCTACCTCTGGCACATTGATCATATCTTCTTTTGAAGGTATGAAAGAAAATTTGAGTTGGGCAAAACACTCTGGAAGCTTTGACAAACAAAACTTGAGACAACCTTGTTTTCTCAGAACAGATAACCAAACAGAAGGTTGGAAGTCAAAAGTGCTGTGCAGAAATACTTCCTATTGGTATTCCCATATTCAGACAAACCTCTCAAGCTAATCATCCCTGGCCACAGCTGTCCAGTTATCAAAAGAAAATGCAGCCTGCAAAAGGGACTAACAAAGCTAAAAGGCAAGCTGCAAACACACTTGAGAAAAATCAATAGTCAAGACAATGTCTATTTTTTTCCCTCACCCCACACTTGTGGCTGACTTCAGCTTAGCCAACTCCTGTCTTGGCATCCTGGCCACTCCCCCTCTCCATTCCCTGCTCCTACCCAAACCGATGAAATTCAAGAACTGAACCCAAGAGCTGGAGTTATCCACTATTTTGACTCAAGTATTTGAAATGAGATAAATTTTCTAAGCTGGGATGGTCTGAGACAGGTTTTGAGATCTCGGACCTTCGGCACCAGAGTTTGGCAGTTGTGGCAATTCTGAGCAGACTGCCAAGTTTTGGCTCCCTGACACAAGCAAAAAAGATCAAAGTGAAAAAGATGCAGCTGCTCCTTAATGACCTGGCTGAGAGGTAGATGTCACTTAATGCATTGTTACAGAAAATCCTTGTCTTGCCCTCACAGGCTTACAGCTCATGACACACAAACATAAAGAAAATAAAGATGCAGCCCACCAACAGTCTCTTTTTCATAAAACAGTCTGGGCCATCTTCAAAAAGCAGACAAAACCCTCAACCTGTACTCATCCTCAGGGAAGTGCCCAAAGCCTGGTGTGCCCCATCCTGCCTTCTTCCCTGCCACCCCAGGGAGCCCTGCTGCTTTGGGCACCCAGCTTCCTGTCCTTTCTTCAAGCTGCATGGTGCCCAACAGGAAAGCCAGGTTTTATGAAACAAAACAAGTTCCCTTTGCTGATGTGTTCTTCCAGAGAACAAATGGTGCTGCAAAGGATTGGGTTTTGCCATTGACCAAATCCATATTTTCTTTTCATTTTATTCCATACCCAGATGAAAAAAATTAGTCTCAACACTTAATATCTCCTTAAGTTATAAGCAGTTGAGGACTGAATCTTGAATCACATTGCCTTAGTCATAAGCAGCCTTGTGAACTCTGTTCATAATCAACAATACATTTATGATCATGCAAGAAATCTCAAAATGAACAGCTCCACCCTTAGTTAGGGGACACTTACCTGGTTTTGATAGAAATGTCTCCTTCCAAGTCACCTTCTCCCCTAACTTGAAAGTTTGGAGCTGTTCTGAGTTATGCTAGACCATTGCCCAAATCCAGGTTGATGTCAGAGAGCCAGAAGCTGCTGTCAGTGTGACAAGAAGTGAAGTTCCTTTGAACTTCCCAGCAGCAGCCAAGCACAGCACTGCACTCACATCCTCTGAGTGCTAAGTCATGATGCACTGCTGTCAGGTGGATGAAGGAAAAGAAGATCGAGGGAACGGAGAAGACTGGAGGTAGAAATAGGAAAAGGAGACGGCTCTCTTGAAAGTAACTCCCTCAGAAAAGTTCTCATATAGGGAACCCCTAAAGAAAGGGTTAATAAAAGCTTGATCACCAGGGGACATTATGAGTATTTTACATAACCTCCATCATCTCACCTGTTGAGTGACTTGTATTTCAGCTATGGCTATAGTACAGCTGAAACACTGAGACAAGGCTTCAAGTAACAGGTGGTTATAAAAAGAAACAAAAAGCAAACAGAAAAACCGAACAGGCACACACTGAGAGAGTGATCTAAAATACTGCTGGTGACAAGGAACCGGGGGGACTTTGCAGTTTATGCAATCAGGGAGCCTCTGCTGATGCTCCAGCCGAACACTTACCTTAATAGATCTTAACAACTGATGAAAGTTGTCTTTAAGTCCTTCCCAAAGAGCCTCTCCCCCAAATCTAAGAGAAAGCATGCCTGAATGAAAAATATCTGAACAATTTCTGATGAGAGGCATTCTCAGAGAAGCTACTGAGAAAAACCCTGTTAGTGTGGAAACAATAACACTCAGCCAAACATAGCAGGGTGCTGACAGGCAGCCTGCTCAGGGAGCAAGAGAAAAAGAGGGAGTGGAAGCAACCTCTTACAGTCTTCCAAACTGAAAAAGACAGAAAAACTCAGACCTACAAAACCTCAGTCATTTCAAAATGTGATGGAGAAACACATTCCCCAGGATGGAAGCCTTTAAATTAACATATTCACAGTATGAAATTGTCTCTGCTTAGCAGCTCTCTGAACGCAGTACTGAAGATAAACAACACACACAGTGCACTCAGCATTCAAAAACTAAGGGCTCATGCTAGTATGGGTACCTAGCCATTACAGCTATTTTATAATGTCTTTAAATCAAATCCAGAGTAACAGCACCAAAGGAAAAAAAAATGTAACTGCACAGCTGATTATTGCTGGCTACAGCTGACTGTGACAAGCAGGTTGTGAGACAACAGTTCCCTTCTAATTGAAGAGTGGGAGCAACGAGGCTAAAATATTCTCACATTCAGAGAGTATCAGCGACCAAACAGCACTCGCTGTTCCCAGACTCTATTCACATGTGTGCTAAGCAAGCACAATGGCTGTCACTTTGAATTACTAGGCTTGAACATCTTCATATACAAAGTACCAAAAAAAGGAAAAGTGGTGTCAGATCCCTGAGTTTCAGAAAGCACCAGCCTGACTTTCAGAAGTATTTAGTCCAAACTCTGAAGGCTTCTTCACGCTTCCTCGGGTGTTGGATGTACAAATGCAAACATCAATTCTGACTTCTGTGTGCACATACAAAAATTACTGAAGTGGCCAGATCAGTGTCAGTCACATGAAAACTGTGCCACATCTTTCAAAGCTATTTGAATAAAGTAAGTTCTTAACACTTCCTCATTAGAAGAAACTAAAGCTTCAAAGATGCTGCCTGCCTCACTTTCTAGAAGTTAAATTCAGAGGCTCACTGGATGCTGAGGTCTGCACAACCACGGACACAGACCACGACTCCAGAAGCACGTATCTGCAGAAGCCATATCCAAATAACAGCCTTTCCCCTCCTGTACAGCACATATCCATTTTTTCTTTCAGTGGAAAATTGAGTTTGTCCAACTCTTCTCCAGTTTGTGTAGAACAGAGAATAAAGATTAAGATTTGTTTTTTGTTTGAAAACACTTAAAGTGGTCAGCAGGGCATCAGAAGAACATCTCACAGCAAGCAAAATCTTTTCTCAGCATTCATGACTGGACTTATATTGGCTTTTTTAGAGGGAGAGAGTAATGTCAGACAAGTGACAGAGTAAGTACTACCTCTTGTTGGTTAAGCACTTCTTCAGTGCCTTGAAGGGATAAGATGTAAGGACAGACAACAACTTTTCTGTCACTTGGTGCTCACCTGGTGACTTCTGCAGCAGAGCCTGAGCAGACCCCGGACTCTGCCTCCTCACAGGGAGTATATCAAGCTCTAAGTATGCTCTTTCTTCTCTACTGAATGCATGGGCCTCCATCCCTTCTGCTCTGCCTTGAGGGAGATACTTCTGGAAACCAGCAGTGTCCCCTCTTGAAACCAAGGAGCCGTAGTGCTGTCACACTGAGATCAGGGTCTACACCTTAAATTCAGAAGGGTGAAAGACTGACATGCACTAACGGGGTCAATGGAAATGCCTTCTCCTCCGCAGTTATGAGAAATCCATTGGTAGCAGAAGAAACCCTTTAGTATGCTATGGAAGTTCAAAATTCAAATCATGTAGCTTCTGTTTCTACTTGTAAATTTAACAGAACAAAACTTTTACAATAACCACAGGGTATGGCAAATGCAAACTTCAATAACGTAGAAAAGCAGTATCAGCTCAAGACACATGCTTTGAAGAAAGTACCTGACAGATGAGAATTAATGTCCACAGCAAGCCTGCCTCAGAAGGGGCAGGTTTGAGATGAATTTTTAAATACAGGAAAAATACCAGCAGAAGTACCTTCAGGTGTTTTCAGACTATAACAAACCTAGCTGAATCACGTGCACTCCTGCAAGTCAACACAGTGTACAGGCTGGGCATGAAGTTGCCAGACTTTATTAGATTTAAACTTATCCAGTGAGATCCTGCATCTTTTCAAAGGCTACTTGAATTTAAATCTCTTGAACGAGAAAATGAAGGCATCAACAACACAACAAGGCATTGAAAACTAAAATGTTCACCATGAGTGTACAATTAAAATTATTCTGTAAAAATTGTCCCAGTCTCCACTGAAGCTTGCAATCACCACTCTCAAATAGTCTGGTTAAATCAGAGAGGTAGGTTGGCAGATTTCCCCTTCTCACAAGTTGAGCATCTACCACCACAGCTGGAAGGTGCCTTCAGCAACCCTGAGTATTGCCAGACCCGGAAGGTACAGGAGGACAGATGCCCACAGAGGCTGAGGCACAGCCAACACACCCTTTTTCATGTTCTTTTCCACTACTAAGGACCATGTGCTCTACATAAAGTAATTCTGGGAAGTTTATCTTCTGCTAATTTATTTATGAGGCAAGGACATGGCCTGGACATTTTTGGTAAATCAGGAAAGGATTATAAAATGTAAAATCAGTATCCAAGCATCTTTTTATCTCAGCACAAGCTTTAACACAAGGGGAAAAAAGCTTTTGTCCTCTGTGGAAAGGACAAATGGAAAAAAAAAAACAAACTCATTCTGGTACAAACTGCCAGACCTCAGAGCATATGATAAGAGCATGCAAACTCTCTGCCAAAGAGCAACAGGAGAGTAAGAATCAGCAACAGAAACAGAAGAAACCTCTTTCCTCCCTCAGCTTTTATATATTTTGCTTTGTCTGTGGGAAAGCTGGGTCAGACTCCATCTAACAAGAGTCCAGTTGGCTCAGTCCTAGCCCCTCTGCCTGCTTTTGTCTTCTCTCTCCCCTCACTTCTCCAAAGCAAGAAAGGAAAGTTACAACTTTCTTTGAACTGTTTTGGCCAGCTGACACATACGGATGTGTCAGAATGCAGTCAGGAGTGGGATGGGAGAGGAGGCAGGGAGAAAACACAAGCCAAACCACCTGGGGGAACAGGATACAGTTAACACAAAAGCCATGTTCAGGATTTTACGTTTCTTTAAAATTATTTCTATTCTTTAAAATAATGTAAAATCTTTTTAACCTCCTGTCCTAGAAACTCAGACAAGCTGCAGTGTAAGAAAGCAGACCAAGGTTATACCTGAACTTTGCCTGTTTAAGGTTGCAGAGCAAGAGGATCCTGTCAATACCTGCAGTTCTTAGCCTCTTTATTCTGCTGATGTTTCTTCTCCGAGACCTTGGCAATGACAATGCTGGCTACTGTTCACAAAGGCCACATAATCCACTCTCCACTGCCCTGAACTTTTGCATTGATTTTCTTTTTTGCTTCTTTGAAAGGACTGAGCAAGCCACGATAGAGAAGAAACTTCTCTGCCTTTAACAGCACTGTGGAGTCCCTGTGAATCCACACTTTCAGTGTCTCTTTTTGTTGTTTTGAATCCAGGTATTGCAGCCTCTGGCTTGCTCAGCTGCACCCCTGTGGCTCCTCTGTGTCTGTCACAATGCCTGCCTGGCTCCTGCCAGTGTCTTACCCCTACTGGAAACCTTCCCCATGCAGATCCCACCTTCCCCTTGGCCACCCTTGACAAAGTGACCTTGGAAGCCTTTTAGAAGGACATGAAAGGATGCAAGATAGGGCAAATATGAAAAGCAAAGTGAAGCTAATACAGTAAAAGACTGAGAATTCTTATTTTAGTCTGACATAACTCCATCAGCTCCTTCCCTCCACTCTGCCTGCCCCCCTTCCATCACTGAAGTCTTTCATCCACTTTCCTCAGTCATATGTTTATTACACACCAAGTCTTCTCTCTCTTCTTCACTCCTAATTCAAACAGCTACAAGCATTGGTAGGTCACCTAGGAATTAAAAAGCTTTTAAACAAGACAAAAAGAACCATCATGGACCCCTGATGCAAGTGTCTGAAAGGTAACCCAAGTCAATGTATTGTGTCATGAACACTAGGAAAAGTCACCCTTAAAAGAAAGAAGACTGCTTAGTATAGTTGCAGCAGGGCAGGTGCTGTACTGAAGCCTTTATACAGTTTTATGGCATGTTTTATCAATACTCTCATTTCTATGCATCATTTCTCACACATTTCACATAATACTCACTCTTCCCAGTTCTTTATCTTCAAGTGCCAGCACCCCGGTGCTTTCTGTAAAGAGTTTTACTTTGACAACAGGCCGAGGGTGAGTCGTGGTGAAATCCCCTTGAGTTCCCCATCTGCAATGAATAAAAGAACAGAACTTAACTGCTGCTGAGGATAGGCCTGAGAGTGATAGAACTGTAATCTGCTGCTCAGAATATTTATTAACGCACTCCTAGAACAAAATTTCCAAACTTCTGGGGAAGGAGGTTTAGAGAGAGAAGACATACATTTTTGAGCATCCAAGATTTAATATCTACATGGGAAAATTGGCTTTTCTCTGTGATAAGACAAATCAGGGTTTTTCTGTATGACTTCTGTTACAAAAAATGATTCACAAATTTCTATTAAATCTGTTATGTTCACTGACTTGTATGCACAAGATAAAGAATCACGTCTCAATTCTAAAAAAAATATTTGTGTGTTTAACTTTAGGTAGCCAAACTATGCATAAAGTAAGAGACTTAACCAGAGAAAACCTTATGTTTCATGAGATGTTACAACTTAACCATGTAGGAAAAATGTAGACATAAATACAAAAAATAAAAAAAAGATGTTATTTATCAGAGTGACTATAGCTCTGCAAGTTAATTACTGCCACAAGGCTTCATGCTTTTAGAGAAGCTAAATTAGGCAGACACACTTCTAGCTGTTAATCTCTTATCTCAGTTAAGACACTTGGTTTGTCAGTCTTCCCTCTGCCCCAAGTGCCAGTGGTACCAAGAAAGTAAAGTTACACAAATCAGATTGCAACTTCCTCCAACAAGTTATTCCATTTTCCTAAAAAAGTGCACGGTACTCATTGAACTGATGATACAGACTCTGATTACGCTACTAGGCACAGACAAAATGTAAAATGTAAGTGCAGCTCCAGTTTCTCTTCACTTTTTTCTACTACTTGAGATATTATGATTAGCAGAAACTAAAGTAATAGAGAACACAGGTGACCGTAAGAGTATACTCTATAAAAGGATGCATTAGAGGAAGAATTCTGTCTTGCAAACAAAAACACAGTCTAAACATTTGTTAGCTGCACTTTCTTGGGGACCAGGATATATTTGTCCCTGAGCTATCAGACTCCTTCAACGGTGCACACTGCAATGGATAAGACCACCCAAACCACCAAAAGAAACTACTATTAAAATAACAAGCAAAATAAAAGCATCTCTACCAAGATCTAGTGGAACCATTAACTCAGACAGAAAAAAACCCAAATCGGAAGTCATCCTGACTATCGGGGAAGAGAAGCAACCCAGTCTGTCAAATGAAAACATCACCAGTGATGGCTGTTTCTGCAGGCTGAGCAGCAGGTATGTCCCACAGCATGTGCTGGGGTCTGGGCACCTCAACATCCAGCTCCAGGATCTCCTCAGAAAGTGGTGCAGATTTCTCTGGAGACACGTATCAAGTCTCCATTTCTGCAGGACACAGCAGGGAGGGATAGGACACCTGAGTCGTGCCCAGGGAGCCTGGCAGAATTTGCTGCTTCTCTAATTTGGATATGCCGTAAGAGACTGATGTGGATGGAACTAACATGCAGTCATCCACCTTTTGCTGGCACTCATGGAGGACTAGAAATCATCTTCAACATCAGATCTGATCACTAAACTTGAGTGACATCTTTCTCTCACGCCTTGTTCCTTCTGCAGCACTAAGTGAAAAACCTGGGCTCAAAAGCAACACTCAGAATCAATTCCTTAAGCTTAACAGTCATGGTGGAAACATTTCAGGCATTGAATTGATCTTCGTGCTCCTGGATGATGAGGACTTCAGCTAAGTCTCATAGCCTCTTAGGATCGTGTCTTTGGAATTAATTATCTGGTAGAGCAAAGGTCACAGATTTTACTGCCTAGACTTCAACGTCATTCCTCATGAAAGAACATGTGAGGAATCATGTTCTGTTTGAAACGACAAATTCAAGATTATGTTCTTTAGCATTATGCTTACTTATGGGCATCTGATATTCCCCTCAGCTGCCAATATCAGAGCAAACTGCACAAGGCTCATCGCTCATCTCCGTTTTTATTCCTTGTGTATAGCCAGAACACAAGCCCTGTTTCTTTAGAACTTTGTCATGTGGCAAAGGTATCGCTTCATACCATTTGAAATCGTCAGTTGGGAGAAAGCAGCCAAAACAGAAGTGTCATCATGTTCGGTTTAGTTTGCTTCTTCCAAGAATGAACACAGGTATGAGAGACCAAATAATCCAGACAGAAATCAAGTTTAAGTATATGCTGTACATTTAAAAGCACATTATGTTATTATGCATGCTATTAATGCATCAGGCATTAACTGAAGTGGAAATCAGAAATTAAAGCATAACCAAAACATATAGCACTGAGCTCCCAGCTTCAGGCTAGCCCATATGAACATTGCTGATAATAACAATTCACAATTTGCACTTTTTTTTTGTTTTGTCAGTACAAAATGAAGTGCAGTAATAAGAATGACTTTACTGTCTGTATTTTACACTGTCAGCACCCACAAATAAACTTTCGTCTTTTTAGAAATAAAATTCTAACCTGTAAAGATTATGCCATGGATATAACAAGAAACAGGGCACTCAATTTTTATTAAGGGTAATCCAAAATGAGGGATAGACTGAGTAAAGCATGCAGTTGTGGGCTAGCCTTTTTTAATTCTTCCTGTTTGTGAATAATAATTAATTTTAACCAAATTCTATTGAAACAGATATCACACTTTCAGCTCCACATCTGAGAGGATAGAAAGATTTATCAGATTTTCAATGTACAAATCAACTTAAAATTAGATATCATGTAATTGCAAACAACATTGGAGAAGCTACTGTTCCAGCAGCAGCAGTGCTAATGTTATATCCACTTGGTTTCTCAAAAATTTAACATCTTTCTTCCAAAACACATTTGTCTTCTGTCAAATGCATTTATTAATATCTATTGAAATACTAACTTTTCCTGCTTTCACATCTGCTTAATCTCATTGGAGTAGTTGTACTGGAAAATTTCCTTTACATTTAAAAGCTAAGCTGCTAGGTAAAGGTCAGACAAATCTGTATTTTTCTTTTAAGGTTGGAGATGCACCCTGATATTTTCCTGGAGAAAATATAGCACTTCTCAGAATTGTCTTTCTGATCCACAGATTAAAAGCCAACCACTGTACAAAGGATTTTGCATATTATTCACAAGACTGAATAACTTCATAGTTCTTTAACTGAACAACTTTTTGACTATTTTTAAATAAGAACTAACAATGTGCCTTCCAGAACTAGAGTACCGAATGAAGAAAAGTTAATTTTCTTTATTTTTTAACTTTCAACAGCAATGACAGTGAAATATTTTCAGTATGAAAATAAAACCTACAGCTGACTTTTCATACAGGGGAACAAGTGAACCTGAAGGTTGTAACTTGATTTTCTGTAAAAAAAATGCACGATTTTGATTTCATTTAAGTCAAAGTATGTTGCAGACAATTTATTTCAAGCTTGCTCTGCTATGGAGATACTGAACTGTAGAAAGAAGAGTGAAAGAAGAAGGGTAAATGAATTCATCTAATTTCAGAACTTGCTAATTACAAAAGGTATACCTTTAATAGTCTTAACATAATAGAAAAATGTAATGCTTTATATTTGTAATAGAGTCTGTTAACTAACAAATGTATGCAAGCAGTTGAAACAGCAAACCAGCCACTTCCATACATTTGGAGGAGCTGTTTGTTTATGAATATCTGTCCAGTGAACAATTTTGGTGCTGAATAAGTCTAGATGAAAAATTCAAGATTTTTGTCATAAGAAGTGTGGATCTCATGCAGTATCATTATTAAGATAAAAAATTCCCATTCTTGGTGTTTTGTTTTGTTTTTAATCTTGCTAGAGAGTAGTCAAAAGTACAATAATTTCAATGTTAAATGCTACAGCCTTGCTCATTGCGCTGTCAGCCGCAGACTGTGTAGCATACATGAGACCTCCAAAAACATCAACTTTAAGTCTAAAAAACCCCACAAATTCTGCCTCTTCAGGGTCTCATTTTGCTACATCACTTTCCTCTGCATACACAATTTTTCTGCTTTCACCTACTCGTTCTCTTCACTATAGAAACGGCAATGATTTGATGTTTGATCATCTTCAGCCATAAGCCCCAATCTTTTTACCATATTTCTGCTGCTGTCAGAGGTATGTGAGCTGATATCATAATTAATGACAAAGTCCTTTGCCAAAGTTGATTCTCCTTCACTGCAAAAGTACCCACTAACAGCAAGGAGGTGGATGCTTATTTCAGGTAAAGATTTATCACTGTGTCACAGAATCCTGCCTAAGCGAATTTATTTTTCTACTTTATTTTGGAACACGTTTTGTATGACGGAAACAGCAACAAATTTCTCTTTCAGGTTTTCCACTCTAATCATGGTCTTTGTCAGTCAAAACTTTTTTTATGACATCTCAAATCTCCAGTCTTACATAGGAGTAAATGTTATAAAATTTATTAATCTAAGCAAACAGCTAGAAAATTTAATTTAGCCCTATTTATTGGAACATGTTCTTTCTGACAAAGTATTAGGCTACAGAATTTTGCATCATCGGGAGTTGACTTTCCCAAGCAATTCAGAAATCTCCTTTTTGAATACAATACCAGTCTATTGACCTCCTTGGTGTCTCCATGCGCAACTTTCTAGGTTTGACTCTTGGTTCAAATCTACTGTATAAATCTACCTCAATGGGTTTCTTAATTCTTCATTAAATTACCTTAAGAGGTCTTCTGAAAGAGTTTTCTTAATTCATATTCATGCAGAGAAGTGATCCAGAGATGCAATGAGCAGAGACCCACCAAAACCAGTTTGGTAGGTGTCCAGCTGCTCCACAGGACTATGAGATTTACCAGCGCTTCATCCTTGCACATTTTGGAGCTGGACTGGAAATACAAAGTTCAGGTCTCCGTAACATCTCTGTGTCTCAACCATTTCAATAATCTATACAAATTTAGTTTCTACTTTGCTTAGAAACATACTGCAACTGCAGAAAAATAGGTACCTATAATCTTCAGGTTAGAAATCATACTCACGGTGGGAGTTGTGAGATGAAAGGCCAGGAGAAAAAAAAAGACAG